TAAACCTAGAATTAATGAGTAAATTTAGCAAGTTTGCAGGATACAAAACTAGTGCACAAATATCAATAATATTTCTATGTACTAACAACAAAAATTTTAAAAGTAATAAAAGTATGCCAATTGTAATAGTACCATAACAGTCAAATACATAGGGTCTATAGAATATTGAGGCTATAGAATATTGCTGGGATAAAGTAAGAAAACCCTAAATAAATGAACACCGTCTTCCGGAAATCCTCTATACCATCACCTTGGCAGCAGTTACATGGTTGTGTACATATGTAAAAATGTATCAGCTGTACAATAAGGATTTACTGTACATGAGTTATACCTCAACGAAAAAGTTTAGAAAAACTGACAAACAGAAAACCAAATTGGATTGGAGACATGGATTCGATATGTGCCCACGATAGACTTTTGAATACTTGACCCCAGAACTAGACAGATAAACCTGTCTAGTCACTGGGAACTGACTAAATCCAAATTTAGGAAGGAAATACATTGACCGACCTACTAAAATCCTGACAGTTCTGTGCTCAAGGTCACGTAGCAAGCAAGGACAGTAGCAGGAGTCACATACAGGTGCTCCCTGCCAACCAGCACTGGCATGCACATGGCAGGCCTGCCCAATTGGTGGAGTCATCCTGTTGGAGACAACAGGAAATTTATTAACAAAAATAAATAGCTGGACAACTGTAGCCCACATTTACCATAGCTTACACAAAGCTAACCAGAGTCTTTGAGCCATGTGCCTGGCTCCAAACAAGGGAAAAGACCAAGCTAAGTAAGCCCAATTTCTTTTTCTCAGTCCACCAATGAGGTGAACCACTCCTTTTCCCAATAGGTAAGAAGACAGGCCCACCCGAGGTGTTACTCTCTGGGAGTCTCTTTACAAAGAGGGATGAAATGCAAGGAAAAGAGGGTGTCCCTCCCCACCCATGACTCAACTTCTTTGCACTCTAGTCTTCTCTTTTGCAGAGTGGCAATAATATAACCTATCTCCTATGGCTGTGTGAGGATTTAAAAAGACAATCCACGTGAATGGCTTTGCCAAGTACCAATAAATACACAGTTGGAGGACTTTAGAGGGGAAAGAGATTTTTAGGAAGATAATCTGATCTATTTGTGTTATTTTATAGATTAGGAAACTGAGATGCAGGGAGGTCAAGATCCTCGTCCAAGTTCCCTGGCTTGTTGGAAATATATTATTGCTGTATTATAGCACAACTGTATCTAGATCCCAGCTGTTCATGGGCCTCATACAGAGTTCTTTCTGCTACACTTTGCCGAATAAACATCCTAAATGGCAACAGATGGAATTGCTGGTCTTTTTCCCAGCCACTATGAATTTCCCGGTAGTCCCGGTGTGCTGCTGTACTAACATAGCAATTAGTAGCCCTTGTTGTGCTTTTGCAATAAGAGCAAGATTACTATATAGAGCCAAGGTAGCTATTTTCACAATCCACTGTAAAGTAGTTAGGCAAGTATTCTTTTGAATGCAAATAAACACAGTCAACTGAAATTATTTTGGTTCCATTTAGCATATTGGAAAAGGTAATGGTTTAATGACATCCCAGTGGTCTCAAATAGTTAATACACCACAGAAATGATTCATAAAATGCCCTTCTGAGTAATAACTCTGACATTGGTGGTATGAAAAGGCACTAAACCCCATGGAACCAAAGTGTTTTCACCTTCCCACCAAGTGACAGTGTTATTAGTTTACAATTCTCTATATACGGGTTGTGGAAATACAGGATCTTTGGAGGACAAGGAAGCCTGTACTATGTTTCATTGTTAGATGATAAGTCCTTGCAACATTATCTGGGACAGTTACTATGGCAAAGAAAATGGTCCTGTAAAGGCCACATGATTTTCTAACCTTATGTCACATGTCCCCAAATGTTAGTCCATTAGACTGGAGCCAGCAGGGCTGAGACCAGGGTAGTGGCTGAAGAGAGAGTTGTTCCTGGTGATGGGAAACCCCTTCGTGTGCAGAGCCCATGTGCTCACAGGGTATCAGAGTACATGTGCTCGCTCAGACTGACACAAACACACAGGCTGTTTGTTTTTATTTTGGAAAGGGGTGTGAGCTGAAACATGTACCTAGCCTCCTGGCTCTGTATGTGACACCTACTGACAGAATGGGCTGCTTTTTTCCTAGTTTGCTGTTGACAGATTGGGTGCCAGTACTTCCAGCCAGAGAGACAGCTGTGCACACCTGCAAGAATCCCAGGGAGAAGCCCCAAGCCTGACTTGACAGTGATGCTAGTGCACAGCAGGATGCCTTATCTTCTGTCACCAGAAAAGTGCCTCCTCTGTAGATTCCTATGTCTGACCCCATGTTGCCACTGAGTGTAATAAAAAGAACAAGGACCAAGGACACATTTGGATTCAAGTTATACCATACTCTTTCCTCACCTGTAAAATGTGTAAAATGGTGAGATTAATGTCTGTTTGGCAGGATTATGATAAGTGCTAGAGCTCATTTATTGAGTATTGTATATAACATACACTGCAAAAGAGGTAGTAGTATCATTATATTGTAGATACGTCTTGTTAAAATTCGAAAAATGTAAAATTAAAAATTAATAAGACCATTCTGATAGTTTATATATACGTGTGTATAGGTATGTGTGTACAAATATTTGCATGTGTCTATACACATATTTATATGTTAATCTTACCCATAAAAACATCAAGAGACAGATACAGCTAGAGGACCTGTGACTCAAGAGACGTGTCACATTTTGCCTGGTTTGCCTTGTTTACACTTGTACTCTTAGAATAATTATGACTGGCCCTCACTTTCACACTAAAATGTGACCCAGTTCAGATGGTAAGTAATATGATCACCCTAAATAAGGATCAGAAGGAAAACACTGATCTCACAGAAATCTGAGAAATAATCATTGGCTTAAAAAATGTGTACTGGGGATGCCAACATAATGTTTTATCTATATAAAATACATCTTAAATAGTAATTATCAAAACAAGAACTACAGACTCAGCGGCCATAAGGCTTGTCCCCAGCAAAGGATTTTCCATTTGGTAAAGAACACAAAGTTTGATATTTTCCTACAGTTTGGTCTTGGTGTTGACTGTAATAGCTTTGACTTCAGGGGGATGGTTTTTATAATAATATTGACTAGGACTCTTTAAGTGGCTGCTGCATGGAAGGTTATTTTGCCACTCAATTTCTTTATTTTTTTTCTTTTTGTTCACTTATGGCAATTGCTGTGATTCTAGTAGCTTTTAATATTTAGCTTCAGCATTTGGGGACTTGGGCAAGCCTAAAAGGGCTTGTCTAAACTTATCAGATGGATGGCACAAATTTACCTCTTTTATTATCCTACATAGTTTGGAGAAGGGGTGAAAAAAAAAAAACTAACATTAAAGGCCAGGGGTTCTGGGTGACAGACATAAATTATCCTATTTCAATGACTTTGTAATTTTTGGAAGGAGGATCTTTGCTTTCTGTCTTATGTAATTTTCTATGCTTATTCTGTGTGGTTTGAATTTAAAATGCCCTTCTTGCTTCTCTTATTCCTCATTTCCTCTAGGAAAATTTCCTTTCAATTGGGAAAATATTACTTTAGCAAATTACACTTTTAACAATGTTCTATCAAACAAAGCTGGAAAATGGCTCAAAATCTAATCTTTTCCCCCTCCAACCTGGCTAGGGTATTTTATATCTCACTCTTAGGGTAGATACACATGCATCTTTTTCACATTTTCAGCTACATCTAAATAGATCAGCCTTTAAATAGAACTCTTTAAAAAATGTCCTTTTTCATCCCAAGTTCAATATCAAAGTCAAAACTCTTTACCATTTCTTCTAAAGACTCAAACTCTCTAACTTCCTGAATACTCTCTGCTAGTCTTTAGTCCAGGAACCATAGTGTCCAGTGACCTATTTAGTCTGGAATGAAGAGGGCAGCTGGCAGGGAGTGTGACAAGCCTCATGTTGTTTTCAACCCCATAAGCAGCTGAGCTTGCCAATGTTCCCAATTTCTAGTACTTTAATCACATAGACCCTCACTGGCAGTTGAGGGAGGGAGGAAAAGTCCACTGCAGAGAGAAGCAAATTTCTGAAACTAAAATACAAAGTCTTTGAATTGTGCCAGTGATGTGGTCCAAATATATTTTGTTTTCCAAACATGTTACCTTGATTTTAGCGAACCCAATTGGTCGCCAAATTTCTCATCAATATGGAAGTCCTAAAGTTTAGACTTCTAATATGGAGCTAACATCTAATACAAAACTGTTCTTATGAAACTCTTTGGCAGTTGGGGAATTTTTGATCATCTATAACATAGGTAGAAATGATCACAGAGTTTTTGAAATTAATAGCCAAAGGCTAAAATTAACGTGTAGTATGATTCCTCCATCAAGAAACATCTTTCCTGTGTTTCTAATAATTAGCAAATCCTATTTAAATATTTCTTCCCTGCTAACCATATATAAGAAGAGAATTATATTGCCCAGTTCTTCTTTTAACCCCTGGGTTTTTGCGGCCCTGGAGATGATACATATAGCAGATTCAGCAAAAGAAAACATCCTGGGTTAGATAATGCACAAGCTGAGTTACTATGAACTGTGGATTGTCATAAGATACAAAAAAAATGCTTTTCCAGTCCTGTGATATAAAAAGACTTTTAATATAAGTTCCTGTGAACCAAGAGGGAATAAGTTATTTCCACTGCTCCTTAAGGATTTTGTTACAATATTTGAAAATTCTTTATTTTCACCTCCATGGAGTTTGTCTTATACCTCATAAAACCATTATTGAATAGAGAAAATGAAATCAAATAAACAATTTGCAGATAGAATCCACTAGAGCTAGCCACACATACAAAGCTTGCACATGTGGGCTTGGCTTTTGCCAATGTCATTGCTTTCTCTTCCTCTGAGAGCCCTGAAAAGCATTTGAGAATTCAACATGTAGGCCTGGTCCTTATTATCGTGACCTTGGTAGTGATCTGTTTTTATCGTTACAGGCAATGAAAGCTTAGAAGAAAACTATGTCCAGGACAGCAAAATGGGGTTCGTCATCAACGCCATCTATGCCATGGCACATGGGCTGCAGAACATGCACCATGCCCTCTGCCCTGGCCACGTGGGCCTCTGTGATGCCATGAAGCCCATTGATGGCAGCAAGCTGCTGGACTTCCTCATCAAGTCCTCGTTCATTGGCGTATCTGGAGAGGAGGTGTGGTTTGACGAGAAAGGGGATGCTCCTGGAAGGTAAAGCAGTCTTTCTGGTATAGAATTTGAATAACCTTGCAAGCCTTCCTGAGCCAGGGAGATGACAACTGTGGCTTCATTTGGTTCCATGGCATCTAGGTGTCATGAGGACAGATACAACCATATAGCTAAAAACAGATAATATCAAATGGAAATTACCAAAGACCAGACCACTTTTTAAAAAACATTAAGATTCTATTGAATGTCTTTTATCCCTTTGGGTAGATGCCTCTTGTAAAACCTCCAGAACCCTACGTCCTGCCAGGGCCAACCCCTATGCAGCAGTCACTTGGCTCTTCCCTCAGAATGCCTGGGACCTCCCTGCAAGCCCAAGAAACTAACAAGATCCCACCTGGCCAGCAGGAACCTCCCAGGCATGGCCAGCAGCAGGCCAGCATCTTTCTGATCATTGGCCACAATGCTATTCTGGTTGGGAAATATTTAAAAATATTACACTTGCTTAAAGAGTTTAATATGTGAAGGGAAATAAGTCTGCACATGTGCCCCTTTTTCTTAGGCTAACTGATATTTTTGCTACCCTGTCTCTTAGAACAAGAAAGGCGGCCAGGCGCGTTAGCTCACGCCTGTAATCCTAGCACTCTGGGAGGCTGAGGTGGGCGGATTGCTCGAGGTCAGGAGTTCAAAACCAGCCTGAGCAAGAGCAAGACCCCGTCTCTACTATAAATAGAAAGGAATTAATTGGCATATATATACATACATACATACATATATATATGTATGTATATATGTATGTATGTATGTATATATATATATATATATATATAAATTAGCCGGGCATGGTGGCGCATGCCTGTAGTCCCAGCTACTTGGGAGGCTGAGGCAGAAGGATTGCTTGAGCCCAGGAGTTTGAGGTTGCTGTGAACTAGGCTGACGCCACAGCACTCACTCTAGCCTGGGCAACAAAGTGAGACTCTGTCTCAAAAAAAAGAAAGAAAGAAAGAGAGAAAGAGAGAGAGAGAAAGAAAGAAAGAAAGAAAGAAAGAAAGAAAGAAAGAAAGAAAGAAAGAAAGAAAGAAAGAAAGAAAGAAAGAAAGAAAGAAAGAAAGAAAGAAAGAAAGAAAGAAAGAAAGGGAAGGACTTGCTTTTTTGAAGTGAGTCCCTGTGGCTTTCAAAGAATTAACCAAACAAGAAGAAACGGAAAATTAAACCTGAGTGTGTGTGTGTATATATATATTTAAAATCCTCCCCAAGTCATTTTACATATAGTGTGCTCTGCAAAGCTTGTTTTGGTGCTTCCAGTTAGCTCATATGGAATTGGCACATGGAGAATGATGTCAGAATCCAGAGTAGCTGTGTTCATGCATATACATTTTCCTTGGAAAAGGATAATCAGAATAGCAGGAGAGGAATGAAAATCTGCAGCAGGAAGGAAAAAGGCCCTCCATTTGGCTGGTACACAGTCTACCCACAATCTCACAGGCTCTGTTATATCTCAGTCTATGGTTTTTCAGAGTTAGAACCCTTAGGAAAGCATATGCTGTGTTAAAATGGAACATCAAACCATTTAATCCTCACTGCTATAGCTATGTTATTATCTTTCTTAAACAGATAACAAACTGAGTGTCAGAGAAACTAAGAAACTTACCTAATGTCACATAGATAGCAAGCAGTAAAGACAGCGTGGTCTGACTCAGAGACTTGTCCTCTGCCACATCCCACTTCCTTTTAGCTAATCCTGAAATTATACAAAATGGCTGGCAACTTTCTTAACGTCATTTTGGAAGTACTATAAGGGACTGTTTGACCATCAGTAATTCTTCATGTATCTCTTCTTTTTATGTAAACTTAAAGTTCTCCATTTAGCCACTTGGGAGGGCTAAATGGATTCTCCCTGTTAAAATCAAACAGCTCTAGAAAAGATAAGCGATATGTCATTGTCAACAATTAAAATTATGAATTTATCCAATTCTTTCTAAGCTACCAGTTAGATGGGAGCAGATTTTGATTGGAACATGAGCAGGATGGCTGAAAGTATCCCAGACCTGGGCATGGCATGTGGAAGCCTTCTAGAAAATGGTACCAGGAGCAGCAAGTGGGTCTAAGATTCAGAACATCTGCTCCTCTAAACCCACTGTTGGACTCCTACTAGAAACTAGGCTCAGAGGAGGGCCAGATTTGGAATATAAACCTTCTTACAAGCTTCCAAAGATAGCATATACAATGCGCCTAGCACAGGGCCACATGCACTTTTGACACTCTATAAATTAAATTTTTTTCCTCTTCTCTCTCTTTGTAAGTTGTCCAAAATATAGATGCATAATTTTAGCTTGTTTCTTCTCTATTTTTAATTAAATATTCAAATCATGGGCTTTCCTCTATTTCTTATCTCAGGGATCATTTCCTCCTGCTTGAAACTGGTTGATTTAATCTGTGTTCAATCCCAGTTTTAACCATCTCTCTCTCTGCTTCCACCTCCTCTCACACCATCAGTCATGCATTTGGTCCCTCTTGTAATTATTTCAGTTACTCATCATACAACATAAACTGACTGCATTGAAAGGATTCCATAAAGATGTAATTTATAGCATGAAGATATGCCAAATAAGGGGTGACATGCCTGGGAGGGACCCTGAGGTCAAGAGAAAAGAGCTGTGTTCAGGAGCACACATGGTACAGGGAAGGCCTCCTTTTAGTAAGTCAGTATTTTTCCCTTGGCGTCCTTCAGTTTTTTTTTTTTTTGCCTCCAGCCTTTGGGACTTTTTCAAAAACTTATGTTTTCAAGGCAAAATATTGTGATTTTTTGTTCTGTTTCTAAATGCTAATACAGTGTGAACTGATTTCCCTTATGAAAGAGCAAACAATGAAGCTGAAATAAAAGCCTTAGGAAATGGTTTTAAAGGAAAAAAGATATTCTAAAGCAAGCATTGCAGCAAAGCCTTCATTGAAAGTGCTAAAGGAGCTGTAATAATGTAATATGGAGTAAAACACAAAAATTGCTGGGAATGAAAAAGGAAATTTATTCACACCAAACATTCACAACAGGTTCTATAGCTATAATGAATTTAAATGGAAACATATTGGAGGTGTAGATTAGTGTCATTGATCACCAAGATGAGTGTGAGCCATCCACCCACAGTCAATACCCACGTGGATATCACTCAGAGTTGCTCTGAAGAACATTCTGGTATAGCTCAGCAACAAGGGGGATAATAACTCTCTATTAGATAAAAGTCAGAACAGCAAAGAGATAAATAATGTGCCCCAGGTGCACCATTTTCTCTTCTCTCTGTAGGTGACTTTTGTTCATCTGGCAGAGGAGAATTTCCTGTGCTCTTCTCAGAGTCCCCTTTCCCTCTAGGAGACAGCTATTTGTAGAAATTGCCAAAATCTAGATGTGGAGAAGCCACTAGCTACACTGTAAGTGACAGGATGCATTCGCACCTTAAGAACAGGCAGAAAAGCCAATAAACTGAATAAACTGATATTCACTGTGTAGTTAAAGAACTAGGCCAGATGTGGCCAGTAGGTTCCAGACACCAACTTAGATTGATTACAAGTAGCTTTCTGGAATTGTGGGCTGAGAAGGATTGTGAGTGTGAGTCAGATTTTGAAAGCTAGAATTCCAGGATGAATTGGGCAACGGCATGGGGGAGGGGAGAAGAAGGAAGAGAGCTGAGGAATAGAATGTGTGTTAGTTCATGGCCATCTATGTCCTTGGGTCAAGCACAAAGAGCAAGAGGCCATGACTCATATTCTAGCCCAGGAGGGTGAGCACTATGCATAGGTACTGCACAAAAGAATCTCACTTTACAGAGCCTATAAGGGGCAGTCAGACATAAGATTTTGGGAAACTTTCAATTAGTGATAATTTACTTGGAGTAAATAGCAACATGGAAAGAAGATATAAGAATACCAAAAAGTTTCTAACTGAAAGATAAATGGCTATGCCAACACAAAGATATTCTCCAGTTTTCTTATAGCTATAAAAATAATCAGAGTATTTTAGGGCATTAATAGTAATATAAATATGAATGATATCATGTTGCCTTACATATTGTCTTAGTTCATTTGGGTTGCTATAACAAAATATCATAAACTGTGTGGTTTAGAAACATCAGAAATTTATTGCTCACAGTCCTAGAGGCTGGGAAGTCCAAGACCAAGACACCAGCACCTTTGATGTCTGCTGAGGATCTGCTTTCTAGTCCATGGATGTGCCTTTTAGTCGTGTTCTCACCCAGTGAAAGGCACAAGAGAGCTTTCTTGGGGTGCTTTTTTAAGGGTTCTAATCCCATAATATATATGTACTTCATATATATATATATATATATATATATATATATGTATTATGTGTGTATATATATGGTGTGCAACATGATTTTGGTATACTATTAATGTACATATATAGTGAAACAATTACTGTAGTGAAGAGTTCTAAATGAAGATTTTGCCATTGTGTAGCATTCCAGCATTTGAAATTAATGAAATGACTGACACCAATTATTTGGTTTCAAAAATATTTGTCCTAATCAGGGAAGAGATTCGTTTAAATGTCAATGCACAAGACATTAAATCTCCCACATCCTTACTAATTAAAGCCTTTCTCAGATTTCTTGCTCTATTATCACCTTAAAAAGGTTCCAGACTTGATAAAACTCATTTCTTTTAATCCAGTGCAAAGAAAATGGCAACTGAATGTGAAAAAGAAATTTGGATTAAAGTAATCAAATAAATAAATTAATGTTCTCATTGATTGTTACTTGTTCAAAAATAACTTAGTGAATAATGATTTGAAGAAGATGATCAATTCCACACATACAGAATTACTTTTTCTGGAGCATAAACAGAGAGAAAAGTACAAGACTAATATATTTGTTGGCAAGTATGAATGATACACAGAGACCGAAGAATGGAATACACGTTCTAGAAAATCAGAAGAAGCTTAGAAATAAAGTAAAATATTGGCAATAGCTGGTGTTGGGATGTGAGATGATTTTAGCTTTATCTCCCTTCTCTCTATTATCATCTATTTACCAAATTTTTTTGTTCGCTACACTATGTTTATATTCTGTAAGACAGAGATGTTTTCTTTGTAGGTATGATATCATGAATCTACAGTACACTGAAGCTAATCGCTATGATTACGTACAAGTTGGCACCTGGCATGAGGGAGTACTGAACATTGATGATTACAAAATCCAGATGAACAAGAGTGGGATGGTACGATCTGTGTGCAGTGAGCCTTGCCTAAAGGGTCAGATTAAGGTAAGCCACGAATGGATTCTTGGATGGTGTCCATGAGGAGGTCTACCTCCTGGGCATTAGTAAGGAAAAACACAGGCATTTTTTAAAAACAAGACTGTCCAGAAAGGGTGTACCGGACTTCCTGTCTTTGCTCTTGTGTTTGGCTAAAACTGAAAGACAAAGAAAGATTAGGAAATAGAGTGAGTAAACTATTAGAATACTTGGAATAGTTTTTATTTGAACAGCACTGATGGGCTGAGACCTTAAATACGATATAGGCAGCAAGGGGATGAATAATCAAATTAAAAATTGAAACAGAAGTAAATGTGGAAACCAAAACCAATAATACTGCTTAGTCACAGTTCTAGCTATTGTTAAAGAAAGCAAAAGCTGAACAATGCTAAATAAGCATATAACTAAAATACCAGAAGTTGAAATTAGGTGACATAGAAGCTCTGATTATCATTTTCCTTTGCTCCACTAAGCCCTTTTATTCTCCTGAAACTGATATTTTTTTCAAGCCAAGAGAGAGTCTCTACTTTTTAATTATTTTCAGCAGCTTTTTTAGGGGAGTGAGGTGGGGCAAGTGAGTAACCATGACGTTACTGTATGTACAAAACTAGAGTAAATAAGACATCAAATATTAAGTCCTTGGCTAGATGTACCAGAGAGAATTCTCAGTGAAGAAGGCATCGAAGCCACACTCTGCTTCCCATGCTATTTAAAACCAAAGTGGATGATGCACTAGGAAATAGAGCATGGAGCTGGCATGGGTATGGATTAGATGACCTAATAGGTCTTTCCCATCTCTAATTTTCTGTGATTCATCTCAGGGAACAGACAGGCTATCATGTAAATGTCACACAGCACAGCTGAAACTGGAGGAGATTGTGCGTGAGGCTCTACACCTCTCCCCCCGCCCCCCCATGTGCTGCCAGACTGGTGTGACATTCTCTCTGCATAGGAGCCACAGAGCCACCCATACAGGGGAGATGCCCTGAGAAATGCACTTAGTGGTCTTGAGGGCAAGAATGTTTAATATGGAGGCTGGAAAAACCCTTATCTCAACTGATTAAAAAAAGTGAGAGATTTGGAACCAGCAACATCTTTTGGCAGCAGAGAAGATCTGTCTTGGTGGACTCAGACTCTCCGTGACTCCAACCACTTGGAGGAAGAAACAAACTTCTGAGATGATTCACCCTGGTTTTAAATACCATATGCCTTCTCTGCAGAATGGTATATTAAAAATATTTGATAATTGTCATGACAACCAGCCAGTCAGAATGGACTCTATTCTAGTGCTCTGACAGGGTGCTGCAGGCCTCCTGCCATGGCCATGAAAAATCCTCAAGTTAGTGGATCGTAGGGAGATTTGGCCCAGCTGTCCTACATGGCTGGGGTAGTGTGGGGCATTCCGGGGACATGGAGACACGCTAGCTTCCAATGAGTGCACAAGTATTTCAGTAATATAAGAATGGCTCCATCCAAACCAGTACACATGGACAGTCTGATAGTCCTGCTTTTTGCTAAGAATCCATTTCTGATTCCTGTCCAGATGGAATACTTCCACATGAAGCTGATTGGTGTTGTGGACTATGTCCTCTGAAATCCAGAGGTCCCATACTGCTCCTTGCCAGACTAATGCATTCTGGTTGCAGCATCTTTTCTGGATGGTGGGAAAATCCAGACATCTGTAGACTGAATCATACAGTGAGAGAACACAGAAGCCCTGAGCTCATGAGCTTCTGCCACCCAAATGATGTCGTATGTTTTTTCAGTTTCGTATCCATTCCAGTGTGGATGTAGCATTGAATTTGCTGTGTAGACAACCACTTTGAAACAGTTTGTGGACATGTAAAGTTGCAGGGTATAAGAAAAAAAACTGTCGGGAATAAACAAATTATTCCAAGGATTCACTGCACTCCAGTTCCCTTTACAATTCCCTCCTGTTACTCTGACTGCTGGCAGTCCAAGATTGGTGCTCACACACCATGTGTATTATGTTTATACATTCCAGAAGAGACTCCTTTGTTCTTCCCAATTCAGAGGCAAGGTTGTCTGCATATATTTCTATACCTAGATATTGAAGTATTTCTGGCATCATGTTTGTGTTATGCTCATGTAGTGTTATCAAAGGAGATCCCAGACACCATTGCAGAGCCGTTGCAGAAAACTCACTATAAATGCAAAGCACTCAGGGACAAATTTTAGAAATATTATGTACGCTGTAGGAGGAAAATGTACCTGTTCTCAATAGCACCTGGAGTGGCAGTGAGGGGAGATGTTTGTTTGTTTCCCATCAGCGCCTTGGGAGGTATGGAAACAAATGAAATTTGAATCCCATTTAACAAATAATGGCATGCACATTCTTAGATTACTAATTTGCCACCTACCAGGCCCAGGATGCAGAGAGCCAGATCTCAGTAGCCACTGCGAAGATGGGGAGAGAGGCAGCTTACAAGGTGATTGTAGGACACACGCTTATTTCAACTGGGAAATACAACTTTTAAAATAGGACTGTTCTTTTTGAATATCAAATGTCATTTACAATGCTAAAATAATAATTTGATGTCTTTTCTGTTAACCTATAAAACTTTCTTAGGATAGTTTTATAGCTAAAAGCCCAGTTTTCTTGTTGATGATTTTTAGATATATTAATATAGCTTATAAAGATACTGTCTTATGGAGGCAGAGAATGACTTCAGTCATCCCACAAACAAGGTGAATAAGATAACCCTTTTTTTGTTATATGTTACACTAGGGTCCAGTCAGGAAAACAAGAGCCCATGTCAGGTGGTTCCATAGGGGAAATTTAGTAGAAGAAATTGGTTATACAAGTGAAAAGGGATATTGAGGCAACACAAACATGAGCCACAGCAGTAATCGATTCCCACTCCAGGGCCAGAGGGACCCAGGGAGAAGTCAGCCACTGCCTGAGATAGCCCCTGAAGTTGGGGGGGGGGTTGTCTGCTCTTTTCTCCTTCTCTTCCATCTCTCATTAGTTTGCTCTGTTTTGCCAAACCTATCCAGAAGCCAGTTGGTGAGCAATCTTGGAAAATGCAGTTCACAAGTATCTTAGCTGAGGTTCCCTTAACCCCAAAACACTAGGCAAAGCTTAACTGCTAATGCAATATTGGGACATTCATTCCCAGAAAAACAAGAGTGAGAGGGAAGGAGGAGTGAGACATAGAAGAACAAGGGGGAAAAAACCAAAGTAAAACAAAACAAGGTGACATGTTATTGAGTAGGACCCTGCTTTCCCAAGTAGTCGCTTGGCCGTGCAGAGATGTCTGGATGGGCTCTTCGGACAGTTGGAGCAAGGAAGGGAAAGGAATGAATGGACCCACACCATGCTATTTTTCACTTCCTGTGGTCACAGTTTATGTTCACAGTGAGTTATATCACCTAATCCCTTTAGGCAGCTACTGGGGAAGCCACAGTCCATGTCCTGTTACACAGTGCTCCTTCCGATTCTGGAAGCAGTGTGAGGATTGAAAGCCCCATGGGTTCCCTGTGGTCTGGTCTGGGCTTTGGCTATGGTGAGCCCTGTAGAGGCAGTTCTGGAGCCCAGCACTTTTGACAAGGAAGGGAGAAACAGCTGGAGATGCCAGAGGACAAAGCAACCACCTCAGGGTGGTGGTGGCAGCAGTGTCCAGAACTCTCCAGTAGCTGGTAGCCAACGGCCCTAAGTCACAGGTGAGGCCAAGGAGAGTCTGAGGCAGCACATGAAATGTGGACAGTGTCATGCAAGCAAACAGCAAGGGCCTGACGCGTGTGTTGGTTTCACACATGGAACATGCTGCTATTTTCTTTGTTGTAGTGAAAGACAGGAAAGGAGTAAGAAGGGGTGGGAAGGTGACAGAAGGGAAAGGAAGGAAGGAAGGAGCAGGGTGGGAACAGAGACACAGACTAACATTTGCCAAGCATGTCCTTATGCAAGGACCACAGCTGCTTTACAGACAGCATTTCAATTACTCCTTGAAACAACCCTTTTAAAGTAGGTATTATCACCCTCATTTTAAAGATGAGGGATCTGAAATCCAGAGGGATTAAATCACTTGCCCCCAAGCTCTCTTAGCTAGAAAGTGCCAAAGCTGGGCTAGGAGCCAACCCAAAGCTGTTATCATCCCACTGACACGTGTTGTTCAACTGTCTTTCATTCCGTGAACTGGCGTATTTCCTACAATTGCAACTTTCAATGTCAAAGACTTATATTTCCAATAGTTCACAATAAAGTCATAAATAGTGATCAATCTTAAACATTCTTGGGGGACAGAATCTAGAATAAAGGGAACAATACTTACAAAAGAGGTTGCAAGAGTGTATTAGAGGCCTTCCCACAGAGAAGCCATGGGAAGGATCCTGGAGCTTACTGTCATTGGCCTCCTGTTCTTTCTTCCTCCTTTCTCCTCCTCTTCTCTCTTCTCTGTCATTTTTTCACTGAAGCTTGCCTTTGGATTCTTTTCTCCAAGATGTTGGTTTGGGATTGGAAGGTTGAGGTAGGAGAGTGGTGATGATCATTACGTCCATCCTCATCCAGCCAGTCACAGCAGAGTTTTGGAGGAATTGGTGAATATGGAATGTATCACAAATACTTCCTTATTTACACATCCCCTGTTGCCATACAGAAAATGATATCTTATATATGTAGAACAAAGCCCTGTTACACATATCTTACAAATTATAAATTTCAGAATTGGGTTACCTATTTCCATTCATGTGATAAGACTGATTTCATTTTATTTACTGGAATTTTCTATCAGAACTGAAAGTCTAGATTCAAAGGCATTAGAAGTGTAGCCCCCAGAAGACTGCTTAATTTAAACCTCTTGAGAGCCCTTTGCTCAGCTTTAGCCTCCTGTGTCACTTTGATTTTTCTATGGTTGAGCAAAGAGGCCAAAGAACAGATTTGTTGAGTATCAAAGTTAAGGGGACATGATCATTCTCACTATGATCTAAGGTAGCCTCAAAGATGGAAAGAAGCTAAGGCAGTCCAATAGGAAACCATTTATATTTTCCTC